GACTACTGCAGATCAGGATGCGATGGAGTAAGCTGCTGAGGCTGTTGCTTCTCCGCAATTATCTGATGTTGTTTTACCGACTGCTGTTCTTGCTGAGTCTGCGGCTGAACCGGGTGCTGATAGGTAAACTGCCGCTGCTGCTGGGCGTGGTGCTTTTGGGTATTCCGCCACTAATCTTTTGGTCTTGACGTCCATTATCAGCAGAGAGATTGTCCTTGTTGCCACATCCTCTATGGCTCGTTACCTGATATAAATTCCTTGTAATGCTCCTTCATGTCCGCAAAATGCTGTGCATCTTTCATTATTAGAGATCCACTACGACTTGGTTGGTGAGGTAGGTTTCACCTGCTCATCCGGCTGCTCGGGTGAATCCCCCATTTTGGCCGCTCACCCACTCACTCGCTGCAGTATGCCGAAACATTAAAAAGGTCCAACTAAAACAAAAACGCTGGAAAAATGAACCGAAAACAGTTAAGAAAAATCAAGTTCGAAACGAAATCGCAATCTATGGGAAACAAAAGATAATGCCAACAAGTCAAAGTTACACGAAGAGCAAAGAACAATCAACCAATCAGTAGTCCACTTCTTGAGAAATACTACTCAAATCTTCAACTACTTCTTAAATTATATTTATTATATATAGAAAATGTGGCATAAGACCAAAGGGGATGATCGGGGAAAGGCTTGGTCATCAATCTGTCTTATCCCAAACTTAACACTACCCCAATCACTTACCCAAACAAACTATACAATATTACACCAAAACACCATATTCTTACTAACCATTCTTACTACAGCTACCATAAAACCTCTCTATGATGTACAATTTGCCTGTGTTGAGTGGGGAATAAAATAACAACTTGAGTATTTACATTGATTACATAATTAACTATTATAAATAGTAAATAAATATACAGTAAATAAACAAAATAGTATTAGTAATAAAAAAAACCTCACAATCCTTAAATGTGGCAGAAATATCAGTTAACGTGACGAAATTAATGAGGGACTTAAATAAATCACAGGACCAAGCACTCAGACACTCATCCAAACATATCAACAAATACGAAAGATACACTCGACAAACGAAAGGCGTCCCGCATCAACCAGAGAACTGACATCCCTGGTCACCTAAGGAGAGGGGGAATTAAACTAACGAAAATGGGGACAAAAATAAAAGATGCCATTGAGCATGCATTCTCTAGCTAACTTGACAGCATGAACTAGATAAAACAAACCTAAACTACTCTATTTTGGGCGAGTTTACCATTGAGCAACTCTTCAAAACCTACTGTAATGTGGCTATTGCCATATTTATAAGTAGGAACAGTCCATTGTCGCAGTAGTAGGGAAAAGTTTACTTGTTATGCGTTTAGTCCTGCATGACTTCATCTTTTTCCACTTTGGCATGCAACTTCCCCATACTGTTCTTGATATATATATATATATATATATATATATATATATATATATATATATATATATATATATATTATTTTTTACCCCAGGCAATGCAGAAGTGCCACTAGCACGCAGAGGGTTTCAGAGAGTGGGAGCAAGAGTAAAGAGCCGTGATAAGGCATCTGAAGATGTCGATTGGCACTGCATTTGAATAATTGAAGACTATAGCTATCAGGGAAGCAAGTAGGAGGAAGGGAGTTCCACGAACGGGAAGTGCAAGACATGAAGTTATTGGAGTAGAAGAGACGGATACATTTAATAGTTTCGAGAGTTAAATGGTGGGACTGAGATGCCAACCAAGCAGCACGCTTAAATTCATGCAGTTCGGAAACCAGCGAAAGTAGCTCGTCAAAGCAGTTACCGTGAAAGTATCTGTAGAAAGGACAGAAGGAAGCGACGGCACGTCTGTGAGAAAGTGACTGTAAACTAGATGCCAGTTTAGCATCAGACATTCTAATGGGAGATAGGGAGGGTTCTCTGTGATAGGTAAAAGAGAGCAGTTTAGTTTTTGAGGGATTAAAGTTTACTAGCCATTTCTTGCCCCAGTCAACCACAGATTGGAGGTTCTTTTCGGGATCAGCAGCTAGTTTAGTTTTGTCAACGATACCAGATTTACTATTGAGGCAGGAGTAAATAGTAGTGTCGTCTGCGTTGATGCCTACTTGAGAACTGATGACATCGAGAAGATCGTTAAGGAAGATCAGAAACAGTGTAGGATCCAGGATCCTGCGTTCCTGAGAAAGGAACTGGAGACATTATCTCACACACACACACACACACACACACACACACACACATTCTTCTTCTTCTTACCTGATCTCTTCAGGGCATAGGCGATTATGGTTCTCCAGAGCAATTTTCTTCATTTGCATGGTGAATGGATGGCGAAACGAGAGGCACGGTAAGAGTGCTACCTGTTACTTTTTTTCCTCATCCGTTGGAAGATTGCCCAACATTCACTATCATATAAGAGTATGGATCCAGTTCTTAGTAGTCCAGTACTATTTTCTTTGATTTTTGTGAGCTTTTAGGATGCTTGTTTCACTAGTCCAATGCGTGTTCGGATCTCAGTGTCACATTTTCCATTCTCTGTTAAAACGCTTCCCAGATTACTTGAGCTTCGGCATCTGGTAAATGTTTATATCTCCAATTTACTCGCATGTACATCAAAACCATCATATACATCAGCGCTTGCGTATAGGCAAACATATTCGTAAATTCGCATTCAAAATTTTGAGGTTAAAAGTAACGAAACGGCTTTTGGTGACATTCAACATTTGAGGAAGGCATAAATGAACTTCCTTTTTCGCTCTGGCCCGTCGACAAATACCTTGATTGTTGGCGGGAAAGAGACTTCTTGAGCAAACCGCTCTTACCTTACTGCCCCCTAAATAACACAAGCTTATTTCAAGCTTTAATGGGAAAAGAAATATATTTTTTTACAGTGGTGTTCACACTGTACAAGGCCCTATGGCTACTCGAAGTAGACGGTTACAGAGTAAAAGGTACAGCTTATGTGGATATGTTCGGAAGGTAACGATTAACTAGACTTGAACATGTAGTGATCGGGAAATCAGCCACTTGGGAGTGGGTTTCCCCAAAGCAGCGGTTCGTGTAAAGAAGCTGCTCCAGTGAACATTTCACCAGAGGGGTATGAAGAAACTGAGGGTGTTTCGCTACAATCTACGTGACATGGTGGGTCTTAGCTGTAAAGGTTAAGACTGGTGGAACTAAAGAGTGTAGTTCATCAAAACACTCGCTATGGAAATAGCGATAGAGCAATGAGAGACTTGCTACATCTCGTCGGTGAGAGAAGGGTTGCTGAATGGAAAAATAATTCGTCGCCTACAAGGACGCGGAGACGCATTTGAATTGTAATGTTAAAAGAAAGATAAACACTATGCTGTAGTAAAAGATAATAAAATGACAAAAATAGTTTCATTTGCAACACTTTGAATAGATTGAATTCTCTGATTTAATACGATATTCACACGGAATAAATTCCTATTTATGGCAATATTACCGTGAAAAATTATAAAATAAAGATTATTAAAACTATAGGCCTTGAAAATATCTTATCATCATCATCATCATCATCATCATCATCATCATCAATATTATTACAATTGCTGTTAATATCAGTTGATTTTTATTTGTTTTTTGTTTTGTTTTGCTTTTGTGTAGTGATTAATTCCAATTTCTTTAAGGAAAGATTAGAAGCAAATTTTTCGTAAAGTTGAACCAAATCTATGCATGGTCATGTAAATGACAGATGTATTGAAGAGGACCTATCAGCCAACATCTAGCAGAATCACAACACTCATGAAACAACATTCAGAGTAATAGATATTTGTACATTACTTTTAAAAACTGTCACATAAAGTGTTGTATTTTCAGTTTAATCATAACTTTATTAATAGAAAACAGTGATACGACATTGAACAAAATAATCGTATGAAAGCAACAACAGTTAACAACTGGACGATTGTTCATATCTTGCTCCGAGAAATATGAATAGCCCAACAATATTATTAAGCGTTTTTTTGTAAATTGTCCGAACGTATATCAAGAATGTTTTATGTGGTTTCATTTCATCCATTTAAAAACGAATTCTTTTATATTTTACATTTCAGAAGAAACAGAAGTAAAGATGATACAATTTTAAAGATTATATTTTAACATTATAATTAACATTGATATTAAAATATCACCAAATTGATATTGCAATACTAAATGTAATGCTGAGGATAATATCAATAACAATGGCACAACGTCACATTTTCATTACTACAATATAAATAACGCACAATATTTGAAATTGACAATTGTCAAGTTGATTACATCAATATTATAACTAACGGAATATATTTTTTATTAACATTGATAAATAATATTAAATAAACATTGATTATAAAACAATTTTTATTCAATCGGTGTTTATTAAGTTAATTTCAACATCGACGATAATGCCAAAATCACTTTCAAAATAATGATTATATTAAAAGCACTAATGAATTATTATTTTGATGCCGACTAGAATTATTTAATTGCAATCAATGCAAAAGAGAGTAACATGTCTGCCTGACATTGATTACAATTAAAACAAAAATTAAACTATTTTTTTATTTATGGAAGCATTTGAAAGTCAACGCTTTTATATTCAATAAACATACTGCCCAGTTGAATACCATAAATTTTAAATATAATAATTAAAGATAATCCCATTAATAACTACAATATTAGCAATATTATTATTAGCTGAAATAGTTTTGCAGTGTCAGCATTGTTACTAATATTATCATGATTAATGTAATAATTATTATTATTACATTTATAACTTTCAGAAATATTATCTACTTCCGATTAATAGCAAAGATAATGATTTGAGTTTCGTCATGTTAAAATAATTGGAATATCTTTCCAAATAATTTCGATTTTTTGTGAAGATTATGTGACAATCTCTATGCACATTTCGTTCTTTTTTCTCCATTTTTTAATGTATTATGTACGTTAATCTTGTTGTGTTGATTTTCATGTCTTTATTGGTAAAATAATCGTACTGAACCCTTATCGTCCATCGTTCCAAAGTTGCAATGCATTTTACTTGATGTGTAGGGCATGTAGGTGAGAGAATCCATGGTGGTAGCACGCACAAGAACGTTGCCGTTCGAGTGAAACACAAAGGTGACAAAATTTAGCACAAACTTGTGGTAGCCGCGGTAACTAGTCAGTTGACGACTCATAGAAACTTCAAGGAATTTTTCTGATTCCATGACATCATAATCTGGAAAATAATGTTTTTAAAAACAACTTTAAAAATCAACCTAAAAATTTATAAATTTATATTACAGGGGAAAAACAACATCGATTTATTCTGGTATGATGCTTTGCCAAATATTTTCTTCTCATGCTAACTTGTTAAAAAAATAGAAAATTTTAATTGTTATATCATAACAGATTGGCAATAAAACTCTAGAAAAACTATTTGTAAAAATATGATGATGGAAAAAAAATAAAATTGGAATGAATGATATTTGAAGACAAAAGAAATGACCCAAAACTCGGTCAAAAACAGATTAAAGTATTTTAAATTATTTGACTAAATAATGAGAAAAAAAAAATTGGCAAAGTGGAAAAAATTAAATTATGATTTAAGAAACTTATGACATTAGAAAGTTGTGAGTAAAAAAGAAAAAAATTTAAAAGGAAAAAATCTAAAAGGAAAAAAATCCAGTGGAAATAAAAAGAATTTGATTTATCAAGATAACATACATTTTGATTTCATACAAGTTAGGATCTCCTGTGTAAATGCTGCATTTTACTGTATCAACTAAAGCATTTAAACAGAAAGAAAATAAAAATAAAAAAGAATTCAAGACACTCTGTCATTTTTAGATAAGTTGAGATGGGATTTTATTTAATGTTAATAATTCAAACACGTAAATCGGCTCGACCTACGTTATCTGTTGAAAATGAAATCGAACAACATATTCGTTACTTTTTTTTGTAATTACGAAAAATATTTTGTGTTTTGAAAGATGTTGTTGCATCTATGTTGTAATTAATCAGAATTGTCACTCAGTCTTGTCTTGAATTAATATGCCTTCTTAATTGTGGCACTTACTTTGGTATAACAAGTGTTATGTAACAAAAATGACTTATGTTGTTAATAATAAAGTGAAAATCCAAAAATTAGCCATACCTGTCTAATAATGTATAGCTCCTTAAAAATACCGGAATACAATGGGTCCATTTGTACAAGTGAGAGGGAGGGGACAAAAGCAACCAATGTAATCTATTTTCTGTCATCTGTAAAAACTTAGTTGCTTAAATTGAAGAAACGAGGAAAATGAAAATAATCTTTGGTTGTCTAAGATTGTTTTTCAGCAGATGCTCAGACCAATGATATCTGTAACCATGTTTCATCAGCAGTCGTTCTGAAAAGTATGGCCTATTCACTAAAATTCTGTTAAATCAACTGAGAATGAGAGCCTGATGTTTAACTCTTAAACAAAATTCAACACTTTAGGTTGTCATCTTTCAGTCAATGATCTAATATAAATCCACAAGTAAATATAAAAGAATAGTTTTCCGAGTTATGCTGATGTAATTACAATCAGAAGTGATTTAGGCTAATAAATTTTCAACAATCTCTCGTATATATACAGTGATGGAAAATAAATGTACAACACCCTGAATATTTATTTGAATTTACTCAAAATTAAATATACAGGTAACATAGCTGGATCACAATAAATTATCACATATACAGATTACTACGTGCACAGTACTAATACTTCATATTAATAAAGGGTATATATTCCTTGGACATTAATACATGCTTCTATTTTCGCTAGTGAATACTATCTTGTGATACATTAATCCAGACCTCTTGTATCAGTTGTTGCAATACAGAAAAGTGTAGATTAGCTTAATGAACGAGGCAAGTCAGTCATTGTCTCATCATGCATCATATGTCTTCAATGGAGGTCAGCTCTTGCGATCGTGCTGGTTAGGGAATTTGCACAGTAGTATGGGAATCATTTGGGCGAGAATTTTCTTGCTGGAACAGTACATCGCCTTTTTGTAACAAAAGTGCTGGAACAATGTTCTAGATGCATATAGCGCAGTTCAATATTACCTTTTCAAATGCGAAAAGCGAACAGGAATAATAACTTCAGTTCCTCACATATATGTTTGGTTCTGTGTCTCGTAAACGTGATTACTTTGGAAAATATCACTCTTCATTTGCACACTCAAATGATCATTATTTGCATGAAGGCAGAAACTGATCTGATCACTGATCTCTACAGAACCTTATCTAATCATCCAGAAGAGCCTCTCGCAACCGCTGATGTGTAACGATAGTGTTTTTGCGTAAGGGAAAGTTAAGCAAAAGGCACATGTAATCGTATTCCAGTTGTAAGTAAACGATTCTCAACAGCCTTTGTTAACACTTCTGTGCCCATGTTCTCTCACAAATATCACTGTGAATTGTATCTTGGTGAATGACTGTACTACGTGACTCCAGAATCTATTTGAGGACACGTTTATAATTGTTACGAGAAGACACAAATAGGCATCTGTTTTGATCGGAACTATCGCGCTGCAACATCCGCTAGAAGTTATTCTTGTGACTTATAGCGGGAGAACAGACCAATGTGAACCAAGGAGAGGATTGTGGTTTCGCCTGGTATTTCTGAGAAGGAACAAAAGCACCAATGCCGAAGAAATCTCTGTGGCACAATTCGCAATAGGAAGGTTAAGAATCTCAATCCAAGTGACATTATGAAGAAAGTCACGAAATGAAACCCAATCAGTATGCTGGTAACAGAAAGAAGTCTTGTGAATAGGAGGATGTTGCTTTCTAATAGACAACGCAAAAGAAATATCAAGATTTAAATTGTCAAGAGGTCAACAAGAGGGGGAGAGGGAGGTAAGGAATAAATCAAGTAAAGAAGAATATTGACCAGATTTATTAGGAAAAGGTGGAGGGAGATTCACTATTCTTTTATTTTGTATAACAGGCAAAAATGTTGAAGAAATAATGACGCACAAATTGATATAAATGAAATTACAATAAAAAATATTAACGTTTTTATTTTTTATTTAATTAGTACTATTTTATTTTAAGTGAAAGAAAATATTTATGTTAGCTACAATCTTAAATTAATTAATCTGATTAAAACAGCTTCAGTCGCATTTTTAACTAATTAAAAGTTTTCAAATTTAAGTCTTTCATAAATTTTCTGAAGTATTATAAAGATTAAATTGTGAAGCAAAAGTGCATTTATGTATTTGTAACCACAATGGCCTCCCTCTTTCTCACTGACTCACTGACTCTCACAAACTATATATGCATTCTGTATATATATATATATATATATATATATATATATATATATATATATACTTTGCCATTTGTCTGTCGCCATAAAACACACACACACACATACATACATATATATATATATATATATATATATATATATATATATATATATATATATATATAGTAGGGATGCTAAAAAAAGCTTCTAAAACCCTTACTCCATAATAATTAGGTGGTTATCCTTTCTTGATTGATTCCAGAATTTTATGCATACATTCACAAAGACTATACAGAAATGATCCAGCTAATTAATTTCATTAATGAAAAGGTAAAAGTCTTTAAGCAGTGCAATGGCGCCTAAGTCTCTTCAAATTACGTTGGAACCTTAAATACTTAGTCAAGCGTTACTTCCTCTTTTCAAAACAGTCTCCAAAGGCGCCTTTCTGGATTGATATTACGTAATCGCGTCCATGATCTGAAATCACTTCTCTTTCAATGACGATTTTATCTTCGAAAAAGCCCAATTTTGTAAATTCAAATCTGGTTTCGTGGGTGTGTAGGGGTGAGAAACGTAGATGATACGACGTTCTGCTAAAAAATAGACATTTTTTTTTTATAAAAAGTCTTGTACGAAATATGAAGGCCTTCGAGATATAAAAAATGTCTGGGTATTCTCCGAATGACGAGTTACTTTCCCCGAATTACTAACCCTCAAGTGGCTTCGAATTTTCGCACTGACAATCGTCAATTTCTTTCATTTGCAATCTGCACGTGTTCAACATTTTCAGATGTTTTGCTTTTTGAAAACCTTCCAGAATGTGAATCGATTCTAACTTTCCAAATTTTTTAACAGAAATTTTAGACTTAGCTTCCAAATCAATCTGCATAATTTTATCCGCGCTTCGCTCATTTAATGAACGCATGCTCATACGCATGAAATACGCTTCTTACTGATATATTATCAAATTGCACCAAGGCCGAGCCACCGATTCTTGAGATATTCAAAATTGTCATATAGACTCTGTGTTTTGCTTGTTGGTTACAAAGCTTTACTAAAGATAATTCTTTGTGTGCATATTCTTGGGAATATAAAATTATATATTTTTTATATAAAAAAAGTTCTTCCTCAGTAGTATAGTTAAGACTATACATATTTCTTTTTCATTTAGATCTTATGGTTTGATTCAAGTACTTCTTACAATATCTTGTATCCATCAACTCTCTCATATAACAAAAAGAAAAGAAAATTAATCTCTGAAAATGTCGCTTTCCTCAGGTAAATTTATCCTCCGGTGAAACAGATTTTGAAATGAAAATGATATCAGTAATTTCCGCATCTCCATTTCATTTGATGTTTGTATAACTAACAATTTGTGTTCTGAAAACTATTAAAAAAAACGACACCAATTAAGTAAGCTGGTAAGTTGTATTTATTTTTCATTTTCTCTTTTCACTTGATACACCTTCAAAGAAAGCACACTGACACGAGAATTACGTATTGCACTTACGGAGATGCTGTCTGTCATGCTTCCAATGACAGATTGATTGATGTGTTTCATTCAACTGAATGCTAATCTGAAGTGTTAATGCGAACGTCTTTGTATAAATGACGCTTACACAGTTTCACATTATTTTCTCAAAAAAGAGTGTTTTGAAGAACATCTCGAGGTTGTTGTCATATGATATAATTTTTTAAAGCAAGTAGAGATTTTGAAAATGGTACTCGGCAAGATGGGTTCAGTTTTCTGCTTCTCTTGCATCAGTGACGTTTATTTTGACTATAGTTCTGTTCACTGGCCAACACAGATGATTGACACTTTTCTCAGATATGAGTTGTACAATTAACAAAGCTAAGACCAAATTTTGTTTAGCAAAAATCAAAATATTTTCAATGGATGTCAGTTCATTTTTTTATATTTTCAAATTAACGGAATTTATAAAACATCAAAGAATCGCTAATTTATTCGTCTTCTTAAGTCTTACTTGATGAAATGCGATAGAGTAAAAATATATATAAAGTAAAACATATGACAATTCTTGAAAACTATCAATTCTCCATATCGTTTTCAAGAAGGACGTACTATCAATTGTGGTAATGAAGACCAAGAATCTTGTGCTGAAAGTTTTGCATGTCTTTCTAAGAATACTATCATTAAATGAATAATAGTAATCGCTCGTAATCCCCGAATCAACCATAATTGAAATAGAGATTAAATCTGACTCGATTATAAGAATAAGAATTTTAATGTTTTCAGACAGTTTTCCCGATTTGCATCGAAATAAATTGTTTATAATAAAACATTTCTTCCCTTAAGATTTAAATTTAAATGAATTAAAATATCTTATCTTAAGAATTGCCTACATAGCAAGTACAAAATATTACACCAACTAAAATAGGGAAAATATTAGTTCGCTTATATTAACAAACGCCATCAATGTTTTCCAATTACATGAGATTAATTTCCTTATGAAGCATCAGGGTGAGTTCCCCCATTCCTAACAAATATTATCTCTCTAAATTCCTAATTCTGTTTTTGATTGAGCATGTAAGTCAGAAAACCATATATGAATTATACCTTTTTACTAACTTTGTATTTCGACGACTTTCTGTATCGATCGATGATGACCACCCCACCCCCCACCTTGATATTTTATTCAAATATCCTTTTATAAACGCGTACGATAGTAGCTCTGCTCAATACACTTGTAAGTGTTGTAACTCTAACACTTGACTATTTTTTCTTTTAGATTCTGAGATGTTTTTCTTTAGTAGTTCGTCTTATTTTTAGCGGATAGGGATAGCGGATTGGACAATAATATCGCCATGAAAAGCAAAACAAAATGAAAAATTACTCAACATTAATTATCAAATCCTTCATCTCAGAATCCCATTCGGGGATTCGAGATTCAAATCTATGCAGACTCGCCATCTTTATTCTGATTTCACGCTATTTTATTCAATGTACGTAACTGCATTAGATAAAAATGAAGAATAAATAAAAAATAAATAAACCATACAAATCTTTTTTCGAATACATGTACTTTTCTCTCTCTCTCTCTCTCTCTCTCTCTCTCTCTCTCTCTCTCTCTCTCTCTCTCTCTCTCTGTGTGTGTGTGATAATAGTTTGCAAATCATTTTCATATATAACAATGAAGTTAATGCATTTGGTTTTCTGATGCTTTTCCTTTCTCGGCACTTATTACAATTCAATTTTATCTGAAATCTTCAACGCCCTCGTTTAAAAAATAAAGATACAAGAACCTCATTAAAATTTAAGGACTACTAAATTGTATTTGAGGTCAAATTGCATGACCTGACGTTTCTTTTGGCCTTCACTATTGCCTAACACATGAATTGTTCTTCTTTCTTCGCTGCAATGTTTTATTTCATTTGACCATTAATATAATTTTAAAAGAAAACATTTATTGCGTAGAAACAAATATAACTTTCCAATATTATGCATCCATACTTGTATATATTTGTATGTACAGCAGGGATTAAAAATAATATATAGAGAGAGATTTTGTGTGTATATATATATATATATATATATAAAAATAAATTCATTGAGTCTGATATAAACCTCAACAGGAAAATAGAGGAAGCACTGGACGGCCGTTTCGTCCTATAATTGGGACTCATCAGCAGTGCGCATCCACCACCAGGTATCGAAACTCTGACAGTTGGGTTGTCAAACAGACAACATACCAACTGTACCAACCGGGCCTCGACACCGAAGAGATTCATATATATATATAAAGAGAGAGAGTGTGTCATTTCTAAGTAACGCTCACTTTCAACATGACTGATTTGTAAACACTTATCGGAGCATTTCCTGTTCTTCGAGTAAAGTACATGCTTATATGTCTGATCGAAATTCAAGTGTTCACCGACTAGCAGTGAAAGATGGCATTCAGTTTTTGGAGTTATTTCATCTAAACCAATGAATAATAAAACTTAAAGGGATAATTAAGTGTATGCCATTTCAAAAAGATATTTCCCACCAAATTCATTCGTATTCATAAAAATCTATAATCCATTACGATACTTAAATTTCTCTAAGTCATTCGATTATAAGGTTTGACCTATTATTAGGAAAATTCTTGCTACAACCAGCATTTATCCCATATGAATTTTTTCATAGCCATTACATTGCCGGGTGCTAGAGAAGCTTAAATTTATTAAAGGAAGCAGCAAGAAATGAGAAATAGATGAAGAGAAAATGTAAAATTTTTAAATTATGTAAATATAAGGCTAATTATATTTGTGAAGTGCATATGTATTAACTAATGAATGAAGAGGGTCATTTTTAAAATGCAAGTAATAACACCTTTGGAAATCCTTCGAATTTTGATAGTCAAATATTTGTTCGACAAAGAGGAGTCATGTATTTTTATGTATAGTTTGTAATTGTGTTTAATGCAAAAAAACAAGCATTATGAAAGAATGTCTTTAAAAATCATTCTACTGTGGAATCAAAAGCTATCTCCAAAAGTTGTTTTTAATGCCATGACTCTTCAAGACGTAGGCAATCATGGCTCCCAACAGATTCCGTTTCTTTAATATGAATTGCTATGATTTTTTGGAAATATAGTGGAATTGGTTTGTTCACAATTTTGAATTCAGAATTGTTCTTCTCTTATACCGACATCCACGAAAAACTAAAGCAATTGATTTACATTCCGATTCAAATATAGGAAGGGAAGAGATTGATTCCTGACTTTTCCCAACGGCAAGCAATTCCATTTCACACACGAATAACCACAAGGCTACATCATCATAAATGTACATATATATATATATATATATATATATATATATATATATATATATATATATATATATATATATATATATATATATATATTTCATTAGATAATTTAATCGCTATATACATGAATATGCCATTTGTTACCGTTCAGAGTTATGGTCAACAAGGCTTCTATTATATCGTAGAGTCAGACATGATTGGATCAATTCTTCAATCCAAAGTAAGAAAAAACGTGTATAATAAATCACATATAGAAACAGATGTTAATCATTCCTCAGGTTGTTGATTGTAAAAGCGGGCTGTGTTTCTATTGTTTTGTGTCCACTATTTCATGATTATAAAAGATGGAAAATTACTATATTACAAAAGGTTTACAATTCAATAAAAAAAAAGCAACAACTACAATACATCGGCTCCATTGCGACAATCATCTTTGTTAACGACATATTCAGCCATGAATGTGTGTATGTATTATTCCAGCATTCAAAGTAGAGAGTGATCACGTGATGATTAAAGACAATATGTGATCTGCTAAGAATATAAACTTGTTCAGTTATCTTTCTTTGCATTTTAAATCTGTGAAATTCACGCCATCCAAGAATCCCAAAGACATATATATCTAATTTGCAATAGATTAATAACTGAAACGGTAGACTAATAAAAGAAGGCAAAGTTAGAAATAAATCACACCAACGTACCTGTGATTTCGCCACCGGAAATGGCTTTGGTCCGTGCGCCAGCACAAATATTATAATCCACCGACATGCGGACAAGTCGACCCTTTTGCAATAACGACAGAAGTGAAGAGAATTTCTTGATTGGCATGACGTTCTTGTGAGGCTCTGTAATAAACTTTAGACTGCCGTCTCTAAAAAGAAAATCCAGTCAATATAAAATTAATATTTAGCAATTGTAAAAAATATATATATTGTTTCAATGTCTATGCGGATTGCTTCGAAAGTAATTTCACCTATTTTATCATGCTGTCTACATCTCTCGATGACAGAAGGATATTTTGGTGGTATTGCTGTAGATATTGTACCTCCTCACCAATAACATACATTTTTTTTTACATCAATGCATGCTGAACATTTACAGAAACTAAACTGTGAATTTGAGCACTGTTAGGTTGTGGATAATGCGTTTGTGATATAGATGTGTACGAAAAGTCTTATTTAAAGCCACGCTATATCGTAGTTAACCACTTAGATATTCATAGCTGACTAAAATTCATAGCTATCAGCACCCGAAGATTGCATTGTGTATGAAAGTCAGAGTTGTGCTACAGGTGAGGAGAAATGTATATATATAATTTATAGTTTTCTTATTCTACATCGAACACTATTCTATTAAAGTCAGCACTCAATGTGATATATATATATATATATATATATATATATATATATATATATAATATATAAATATATTTTTTGGCAGCATGCTTTCATTAAGACATGTCTCATTGAATAATTTCGACAAGTTTTGTCTACTTATTTTAAATAGAATCCTCTCATAGCTTCTTAGTATGTTCTCTTATGGAAGATAGAAAATTACCATGTTGATACATATCCATTTATTCCGAGTACTTTTGACATTAGCACACAATGTCATCATCAGGGTGTTTTTTTCCTAAGACAAAACTGCTGTGTTCATCTGAAAGTTAAAATTTTTTAACTGCGACGTGAGAAAATGCGAAGGTTATGTACTGTACCATTTAAACTAAAGATATAAATGTCAGGCGAGGTAACTAAGAAAAAAGGAACCATCAGATTTTAAAAAGAAACTATCAGCTAAAACAAAGATTTTATTAAGAGTTGGTTTCAATTTTTAATATATATAGTTTCAAGAAACTTTAGTTTATGTTTATTATTTTCATAAAAAGTATAGATGTATTTTCAAAAAGAATTTTCCTACATTGTGAATCTTGAAAGGCATGCTGATGGAAATTTGATATGTTTGATGCACCATTCAAATGAAAATTCAACCGTCGAAACAACATGGTAGTAGTATGGCCAACATAGATTATTTTTCTTTACATATACAAGGGACATTAAAATTTATATACAATATTCGTTTCCTGCAATATGTTAGTTGGTGGGGGGAGTCACTATGAATGATTAAACTGGATATATTGAATTTAGTAGAGTATATAATTATTTTTTTACTAGGATCTATGGCGGATATATTAGTATTTATTATTTTTTCAGGATGTTTTCTTCGTCTTTATAATTAGAATGTGTTTGATTGCGATATAAAAGATTAATATGATTAGGGTTAATTGAAGGAATACCATATTCTATTTGCTTTGCATTATAATTTTAATAAAAATAATCTAAAACTATATATATATATATATATATATATATATATATATATATATATATATATATATAAAGGAACATTACACTGAAGTCACCACCGAACAGCGACATCTGTTTCTTACTTGAACGCAATCTTCCGTCCATCATATATATATATATATATATATATATATATATATATATATATATATACAGAGAGAGAGAGATGGGTGGGTTCAATGCTGTTTTGCAAATCTTCATCATTCTACCAATATTGAGCAAATGTGTCTGAACCGAGTAAAAAGATCTGCTAAAACAATACATTAAGGATTTTTTTCTGTCACACCCAAAGCGATGATCAGATGAGGATCAGATAACATAGCAAGTTAAATATCGTCACCCTTTTCCCTCTGGCGCTATGATCTGTCCTAAAAAATGCTGGGAAATTAATGACATTTGACTGCTTAAAAAGTCGTCCATTTCAGAAAAATGCATAAAACAACTGAAAATATTTGCACAGAACTACATGTGTGCGCTTAAAACTAAATTGTATGGCGTATGACGACGACGTATGATCAAATCCATTCATCGTATCAGGTTGACAAAACTGATCGGAGAACATCAGAAAGATTTCCCAAATGTCTCTTCTCAATAGCAACATTTAATTTTGATTTTGTCATTGATACTTCAAAAGAATTAATGACTTTCTTCATGTAACGTTCAACGAAAAAATTGTCATTGTATTCTCTTAGATAAAATTCCATTTTGATTTTTTAAATTGAAAGGAAACAGTAATTCAATGAAAAACCTATAAAATATATCAATCTTTCTGTCCCGATAACAATTGAAATATGTTAATCCAAGAATATAATTGAAATATGTTAATCCAAGTGTAACATGCGTCTTTTTAATGGAAAATGTTGAAATTTACAAAATAAATGTCGTTGAAGGTGTTTCGCTAAGAATCCGTTGAAACAAAAGACGATGTGAAAAAATATTTTTAATTTATTTTCATTAATTTGTAATAAACTTTTGCCTAGCAAAATAACATTCAACATTAGAATTAATGCATCAGTGAAGTGAGAAAATTGAAAGCAAAGATAGATGAATCAAACATGACACAAATATTTAAAAAGAATAGAAATAAAATAAATAAAAATCGTTTAAGAAAAATGCAATTTGTTGACATTTTTCTCTGCGTTTTTATTTCTTTCTTTCCAAAACGTTTTGTATTCTCTTTACGAAATGTCATTCTAACGTACAACTCCTAAATACCTTCTTCTGTCAGTAGTCACCTGAGGAAAGTGAGCCTCCAAGCAGTCAGGGGAATCAGCAGATAGACTATTATTCTCAGACATTCATTGCATGGAAAGTGACTTTCACTGTAAACTACTGGTTTTCCCTACAGATCAAGAAGACGCTTTGCAAGAATATCGACACCTGATTCGCAGGCAAAGCAGACAACGGATAAATAATAGCAATAATTTCGCACATGATACTCAATTTCATTTTATTCTTTCGGGATAACTACTGTTGGATTATCTCCATTAAGATTCTAAATTTTGCATGCATCTCCGATCGATTCTAATTCGATGGAGATCAATTAAAAATTAAACTCTAATAAGCGAAATATTTATTCGATTCAAGTGTTTTGAAATAGATATTCATATCTTTACGCCTATCTTTCTGGTTGACTTCAATATTGCAATTAATGTTTTGCCCCTGCTACTTGCTGATGTTATTCAATCTGATAACCTCAGACTGACCAGAAATAATTAATGATTAAAGCAGTAAAGTAGCCATGATCGAAGCTATCAACTTCTTTTTTATGATGATGTCGCTTCCTGTCCCGTTTATGGTCAAACGCCACGGCTGCAAATAATGTAATTCACGATGCAATTCTGCTAGAAGGTCGCGCAATTTACTAACGAATCTCTAAGTAGGCAGCAAGGTAGGATCTTTAACAATGTGTTTAGTAGATTTTAAGGGGGTATCTGGCATTTTCACCATTGTTATTCTTCATTAATAATGTGATAAAGAACTGTGATGTGTGGAATAGACTCAGATACAACTTGCAGAGTAAACCATCCAACCCATTGGAACTTATTACTTCTTTAATACCTCCAAGATTACGCGCTCACTAATCAATTCTAGCTCGACTGTATGGTTTTATTCTAGGAAATTTGCATTATGATTTCGAATAAGCAAAGCTCTCTTTTAAACATCTGCTAGAAATACAACTGCAAGCCAGTGAAGATAATACTCCGCGTCATTCCAAGGAGCACCTTTACCAACGCAAAGTTCAGGATCTTGATGAAATTTTTCCTTGCATATCTCTATCCCCAAACAATACTTTGCAACCAATAGCCTTATGGCTTTTCTAACTAATTGCAACCCTAAAGACTGGTAAACCGTGCTGCTTTAGCCTGAATCTTATCTAAACGGTTCATTTAGAATATAAGACGGCAAATGCATTAATCTTAACTTTCAAGGCAATCCCTTACCTGTTCTCTTCTAAATTTTGCATTTTCTATTTTAATATTGATAGTGAAAATTAAACTTATAAAGTTCTGTTTTTAATTGCTTATTTTGATTTTTCTAGTCATAACGACAAGCTTCCATATTTTACAATCCGAAATATTTAAGCATTATAAAACTTTAGATAACAGCTGCAGGTTAAAATAAGGCAAAAAGGAACAGTAATTTGAAAAAATAACTTACTTTTGTGCAAAATCATAAAGGCGACAGTACCACTGACCCTGCTTAAAAACATGGTTGCTAGCCGGAAGTAGGTACGTGACTGTCACGATGACAGTTGAGTTGCTATGAACGATGATTTCCTTCAGAATAGACATGAAACCTACAAGAAAATAGAACGGAAAAATGACTCCACAAAATTTTTCCCTTTTTTTCATATATTATGTTTTTTTATTAGTTTTCATATTTTGTAAACTCTTCATTCGTTATTATGATCAGGTTTTTGTCCATATTTTTGTGCATTTTCAAAAAGGTGAGTTTTACCTGGTTTAGAACTCTAGCAATTGCTGCTAGTTCAACTGCAATTTCAGTTCTGACGATCAAAATAAAATGATATAATCTCAAAACATTTTATTATTGTGCTTGAATGAGTCAAAGCAAAAATCTCTTTGTTGATAGATTTAAAAAGAAAAATAAGATGAATACAGAGAAACACTTCCAAACTCAAAATCACGGAAAATTAACGCCAAATTTCTTTTCTCACAGAGGCCATATTGTGAAGACGCGTACCGTAAGTTGCCGACAAGGAAATGTAAAAGTATCAAGCTTGATATATACTGGAAAAGGCAAACAATAAATAAAGAAATGAGATTAACACAAACTTCTCACAATTAAGTGACTAGTCAGCTCTCTTTAAATATAAAGGATTCTTTGTGCCGAAAATTGCAAATAAATTATCCTTTGTATGTTAGCCAATTCTGACAAGTTGAGTTTATTTTTTCGTTTTATATTTTTATTTTATTTGGATAAGCGCGTAGCATAGCGGTTATCGGCGTGGCATGCTGAGTTCATAATTTGGTCGATGTTGTTGCATTCGCTTTCTCACAAATCTCCTTGACAAAATTATGAATCGATTTCTTCTTCTCCCATCTAAGGATTAAATGGCAGGACGGACTAGCCTTGAGTGGAAACCAGTCTAGAATTCAAAACCTACGACGGAACAATGCACTGTCCTCTCAACCATCAGGGTGGCGATATTTAATGGATAAGACAGAAACATGATGAGAGCAGCAGAGATGAACCGACATGCAGCATTCTATTTCCTCATTCCAGTTCATTCTAAACTAATGAAATCATTATTTATTTTCGACCAAGTATAGACACAAAATTTAATCGGAGACTCCCGGAAACGATTTATAAAACCGCTAAAAATTTGGCCAATATAATAATTATAATTTTACTTCACCTGTTTTTAGTTTGTTTTAGTTGGACTTTCTTGGTGTTGTTACATTTGCAGAACCCCTACTGCTATCTTTGTTTAACAACTATATGGATACATGGAATTTTTGCGTGCTGCAACTCAGTTAATGGAAGTATCAATTAGAAAACATAGGCCTATAAACAGTTTTGTAACATTTTGAATTCTCTTAGTTTATAGCTAGATTTGTCTAGCGTTGGCAAAAGACAATATTTCGAAATATTCAGCAAGTGTTAGCATTCAGTAAAGAAAGCAGGCAGAACTTGCACCCACTCACTGTTTCAAACACTGTCTGCTTAATGCTTAATCAAAACTTCTTTTTCAGCTAAGTGAAAGCCACTATCAAGAATGGTGTTTCAAAGTTGAGTTGTGTTGGAATTAAAACTTCAGAAAACTTGAAAATAGGACATATTTCTCTTAACTTGCAGAAAAGCACATCTAAAAATCCGATGCATGATGAACCAATCAGAATTAGCATAATATTTGTAGATTATTTCGGGTGCTAAACGGAAAATAGTCTGTTTACTTTTGTCTTTTCTCGTACTGTACTAACTCAAAATAACTTATAAAGAAAGGGTTCTTGATAGGCTCCAGAGGTGGATATGCAATGCGGTTGGCCCTGCCCTGGCGTCTCGTCTACAGTCACTTTCTCACAGACGCGCCGTCGCCTCCCTCTGTCTGTTCTACAAATACTTTCATGGAAATTGCTCCGAGGAGCTGCATTCGCTGGTTCCCAGACGTCATGAGTTCCAGCGCACTACGAGGCTGGCATCCCGCTCTCACCCCTTCACTGTCGAAATGTAGCCGTCTCTTCTACTCTAATAGCTTCATGTCTCACACCTCTCGCCTGTGGACCTCCCTTCCCTTCTCCTGTTTCCCTGTGAGCTATAATCTCCAGCTATTCAAGTGTAATGTCAATCGACATCTCCAGTTGCCTTGATCTATCCACTACCCTCATCCTTTCTTCTATCACTCCTATCTGATCTTGCTCTAAATTTTCTGTAACCCCTTGCGTCCTAGTGGCTTCCCGCCTTGCTTGGGGTGAAATGCTTAAAAAAAAAAAAAAAAAGAAAGGAAAAGATTGAAAGGAACAATATATGAGGAATATGAAAAATTACAATGAAATATTATTTGCAATTTGATTACAAGCGACATTTTTTAAATTATTCATAGCCTTATCTTAATAATCACGTGTCTTTATTAAATACCTCAACCTGTAATTGGTTCTTCTTTGTTACCAGATTTCGTTAAGTTTAAACGGGAATTTTGTGTGGTTGCTCTCTCCTTTTTGATGGGTGGGGTCATTTTCTTGTCTGAAGGTTCACTGGTATCCAAATTTTGCGGTTGACTGATATGTCACTCCTAAATGTGAATATACTGTTCTTTCTTCATTATTACATTCACTTCAACCTTTCAGACTAACAGAGCCACTAACTGAAAAACAACACTATTCTTTCGATTGAAAGCATCACTCGTTTTTTGCCAAACAAGAAATTCAGATTTTTTTATGTGACCAAAGAATAAATAAATAAAATAGTGGCGTCTTATTGAATTTATCAAAACTGAAAATACTTTTGAAAATTTCAATTTTGAATATTTTCCTAGACAAAAAATGAAACCACAAAATAAAATATGAATATATCGGCTTGTAGACATTCGCGTTGACATTATGTTACAACTTTTTCATAATTACTGTTATGTGAATTTGGAAATTGACACTTATAAAAGCAAATTAGTTTCATTAATTCTTCGACTATCGCTACACGGATATGAGATTAACTGAAAAAGCTGATTGGTTGAAGACTGTTAACTTTGTGCTTTGAAATAACAACTCAGAATTTTTTTCTTTTCATTTTAAATAGAATAAATCAAAAGACTGGCTTATTAAATCATGAAACAATGATCTTTTGAATGTAGGCCACAGTTTTTGTAAGTTTTAACAACTGGTACAAATTATAATCTGTGTAAGAAAACAATTCAATTGTTAGATGTATTACCAACAAGACTGTATATCTAACTCATTTCTATAACCGCATATTAAAGAAGCAAGACGTAGAAAGAAAAAGAGATGCACTGATAGAATGGATTTTATTTTTAATTCGACACTTCTTTATTTCGAACGTTATTTTTAGTGGATAACCGTATTTGAGTAGACGCTTCGTATTTTTTTTGTTTTGTTTTTTAACTATATTTATTTCGTCTACCGGACTACACACACGAGAAAACTTATTAAAGTAAATTAAACCTCCGCCAGGATTCGAACCTGCGTTCGCTTTTGCAGGAGTAACCTCCGTCTGATCTGACGTACTTTAATCGCTAGGTCACGAAGCCCATCACAATCAAGCAAGGTTCTATTTGGCTTTAAAGTACACTCACTCATTCAGATTGCTCAAATTTTCATATCTGTTTAGTTTTGTATCCGAAACATAAACAAGGCAATTTCTAAAGAATTAATGAGTTTTATTTTATAGTCCAACAGATTTTTATTACTTCAAAGCTTTACTTTGAGCTTTACTTTTAGCTTTACTTTTAGCTTTACTTTGAGCTGAAACTTGTATTTGAGAAGGCGCTCCATTTTTTATTTCAAGCAGTATTTATTTAATCTAGCGATCTTCACATTTAAGGAATCTGAATGATTATGTTGTGCTCTAAAGATAAATAGAACCTTGCTTGACTGTTATGCCGTTCGTGACCTATTGGCGAAAGTACGCCTCATCAGATAGTCGTTTCTCCTGCAAATGTTGAGCCAGGTTCGAATCCTGCCGGAAAACGCATTTTCTTAATCTTTAAAATAAAAACGGAGTGTGTACTCAAATACGGATAACTGCTTAAAGTAATGATTGAAGTAATATGTATACTAGCCGAATTACCCGCGCCTTGCTGTGTGTCACACATTTTTGTAAGAAAATGAGGAGTGATTTTAAATCAGTGTTGTAATTTGTGGGGAAAATAATTTCAGTATTACTCAATGATCTTGCCAATTTGATGTCGATCTTCTGGCTTTCTCCTTCTATATTTTGGCTAGGAGTCATTCCCTTCTTCAAATTAAAATTTAATTTAAATCAAATAGAAATAAATTTCAGTGGGACCACATTTGATCAAAATGAAATATACTTACCTAAGTGCACTGAGTAATGTAGTTTCAGAATATATATGTTTATGGGTGGGGTCTAATTCCACAACCCAAGGAGGACTTCGATAACAAACAGAAGGCTACAACCATCTTAGAAAAGATAAAGTGATAATAAAAGAAAGACTGAATCTCACCAACAGAGACAGATCCATTCAAATCAAATCTCCTCAAGCTGAAAAAACTTTTAGACTGAAATGAGCTTTTTGATCTCAGTTTAGAAAGTACGGTTAAATTAAAGTTTTACTAAAGTTTTGACTGAAGCACAAATTTACAAATCATTTGTTGCTAAGCTTCTTCCTGGTTTAAATCTTGCCGCGAAATTAAAAATGAAACAGGTTTTACTTGACACATAAGCAATAACTTTTACTAGTTATTATATTATCATTATGGTGATGATACCGTTGATTTGATCCCATATGCCCAAATCTACATACACAGTTAAACATAACGGTAATGATAGTAGCAATATTAGTAGACGCTTCTTTATGAGGAAACATTCGACATTCATTGATCGAGCAACCACTGCATTTAGTTTGAAATTTATAAAATTCTAATCAAACAATTTTTCGTGAAAATAGGTTTTTAAAGTTCAGTAACAGTTATTTCTCTTTTCTGTATTGATGGAGGAGGGGGGGCTTCTTCTTAACTTTTTGTTTGAAGTCATGTGGAACTTGATTATGCCATTATTTTTCATCGAGTTACATGTGCTATCCATTTTAGTTGTTCCTGTTGAAAGTCATCAAATGATGTAGCATAGTTTTTGTGGTACTGTTCTTTCTGTAGCATCAGTCTACAATGTTCGAAAAAGAATGCTCCTTGTATAGCATCAAATATTTATCTCGACAAAATAACAACATGGTATAAATATATATATATATATATATATATATATATATAGACTCTAGTTGGTTTGTACAAATTTTTATTGTCTTTTATTACAGTAAAAAAGGAGAGTAACTATGATAGAATATCTACTATCCTGCTCATTCCAAAACATATTTGTCCAGCCAGTCGCTTTTGTGCTTTGGTAAATCACGTTCCTCTCATTCTACTTGTCATAATTGTTGACAAAGACCTATACGATCTAAGAATTGTTTTAAAGCCCAAATAGCATCCACTAACTTATTAAGTCAAGAAAAGTCAATGTTAAATAATTTTCTAAAAATAATTATTACGTGCTTACCATGATCCCCGTGAATAAGTTTTCGATGCGAAAACTCCAACTGTGTGATCTCTTGCGTAACTAGGTCCTTGTATATTTCATAGGTATTAACATAATCTCCGAAAGAGAGACGGTCAATTCCACCGCCCGACATTAAGAAGCAGTTGGTCAAGTTGACGGTGTATCTCACACTGTGGCCGGAAGTGAGTGCTCCCTCCAAACTAACCAAGTCTCTTAATTCCCATGGGCCTATGTAAACATTGGTAAGGTCCGGTGAATCTTTTTGTGGACGACGTGATCGACCGAATCTTAATCTGTAACATGGAAAAGAGAGAAAAAGATGAATAAGAAAACGGCTAATTAATGCAACAAAATTAAGAAAATAACAATTTCTTCATTAGTTTAATGAATAGAGTACGCAGAAAACATGTAAGTGATCTTACGGCTAATCAGTGCTATATCAGTTGGGCACACGCTCTAGAGCATAAATCTCTGTCGACATTTCTTGTCTCGGAATCGAACAATGGCAACTCTATATGCTAATGTAAGAAGAATAAATATGTATTTTTATTTATTAACCTTAGTTTAATACACAAGTTCCTATGTTATATGAGGATTGAACATACTACTTCATTATAATGGTCAAGCAAACTAGCTTGCTAAACCTTAGCAAACGTCGAAAACGCACACGATGAAATATATTTAGGCATATCTTTATAGATGCATCTGCAATGTATTTTTGTCATTTCTCGAGAGAAATCATGTCCATTACAAGTTCGCAAAATATCCCAAGGAAATGCAAATGCATTTATTAATCTGACATTTTGCTTATATAACAAAGTGATTTTTATCGCTATAGTAAATGCAAAGAATGAATGAAAAAAAAGGTCAATTTCCAATCTTCTTCTTTCTGAAGTAGCGATGTGTCACTTTCCATCTACATTTCATGTTGTCGACACCTTAACCTTTCATTCCAGTCCCCAACCCGTGTCGTTGCTAATTTATTCGTTTAGAGGCTTGAGGAGTACCACAAAACATAAGTGTTTGCGTGTACTTCCATCCAAGTACACGCCCAGTTCATTCATGAATTTTGAACTGTAGTAGCTACTTAGGCGCAATAAACGAAACACAAGGATACACATGCACATGTATGCATAACTACATTCACAAATACTCGTGAAAATCTTAATAGTGTTCATCGCCAATAACAATACTGTTTAGTAAAATTGAACAACATTAAAGAACGAATTATCGAAAAATAATTACAAAAAATGTTCCTTTTATGACGATAAGAAAGCATGTCTTACAACATAGCATAAAATTACACGCACACACACACACACATATATATATATATATATATATGTGTGTGTGTGTGTGTGTGTGTGTGTGTGTGTGTGTGTGTGTGTATGGATCAGCAAATACTGAAGTCTTTATTGTTTACGTACGTCTTAGTAAATGTTTATCATGATGTAGTTGGTATGCGTTCCATTTGCTTATATATGTTTGATATATATACTCATATATATATATATATATATATATATATATGTGTGTGTGTGTGTGTGTGTGAGAGAGAGAGAGAGAGAGAGAGAGAGAGAGAGTAAAATATGGATATATATATGTTTGTTTTGCGTCATCAGAAACCATATGGAGATACATTTTTAATTGTCCGGAAGTCAGTAATTTGGCAATTAAGACTTCTTTAACTTTAGCCTGACACTTACTAAAATGTTGGAGGAAAATGAAATTTGAACACACATAGAAGAAGAGGAAAAGTGTAATAAGATGCTACAAGAAATATTAATTCAAAGATCAAATATAATTCATCTTCGTCATCTTCAGAACAAAATGACTTTGATCCTGACTTGCTTGTTTGGTATCAGGTTTTACAGAGTACCCTTTCATGGCTCAATATAAATCGGGTTTTTTAAGCATTTTACCGCCCAAGCAAGGCGAGAGTGCCACTATACGCAGGAGGTTACAGAGAGTGAAAGTAAGTGAAAAGACTGGGTATAGGGGGGGATTTCGGAAAGGATCAAAAGAAAAACAGGGATCAAGGCATCAGAAGATGACGACTGACATTGCGTTTAAATTTTTGAAGATTGTAGTTATCAGGGAAGCAAGTAATCGGAAGGGTGTTTCACTGTCGGGAAGTAAGGGAGCTGTTGGAGTAGAAGCGGTGGTTACATTTAACTGTTTCAACAGTAATGTAGTCGGGGGCACCGGGGAAAATAGCTCGTCAGAACAGTTGCCATGAAAAGTTTTGTAGAAAAGACAGTGGGAAGCAACGCCACGTCTGTGAGAAAGTGACTGGAGTCGAGATGCCAAGTCAGGACCGATTACATTGCAGATCCTTCTTTGGAAAAAAGCTGGGGCAAAAGATCATATATGGCAACTGCATTCAATACATGGACGAATGGTAGATTTATTGATGTGTAGGATGAACTCAGACAAGAAAAACTTTCTGGCACCACACAGAGAACCAACTTTCCTTGCGGTAGATGCAGCTACTGATTGAATATAGTTGTCCCACCTCAAGTCAGTGGAAAACGTAAGACCAAAAAAAGCGTAGTGAGACACTCTCCGGGAATTGAGCATCAGCCAGGGAAGTTTCTCTATGGTAAGTTTCTCTCAATGAGAGCAGTTTAGTTTTGGAGGCATTAAAATTTACAAGCTATTTCCTACCCCAGTTAACTACAGATCGATGGTCCTTTTCGAGACAAACGGACAGGTTAGCTTTGTTACCATTGCCGGATTTACTATTGAGACAGGATTAAATGGTAATGTCGTATGCAAAGATGCCTACTTGAGAGCTGATGACATCAAGATCTTTGGGGAACACCCAAGTTCGTATGAAAGGAACTGGAAGAGAACCCGTTGAGGACGACCTTCACTTCACGATTTCATAGGAATGATTGAATTAAATCAAATAATTCTCATGTATTACCGTAGCCATGAAGCTTACGTAGAACGCCTTCGAGATATCTAGAGCCACAGCTCGATCTTCGCCGTTATTATCAACAGCTTGGTATACATATTTAGTTTTAAGCACATCAGCGGTCTGCTGTGATTTTAATCTTCACCTGTTGTTATATTGTGAAATGTCTGGCATTTTAAAGTCTGTCTCAACTCGTTACTGGATAGGTATTTGGTGACACGATTACTAATATGTATTTTACAAGTAAGTTATAATTGGAACCCATTCGGAATGGGGTTAACATTACAGGTTTAAAGAGAATAACCTTGAGGGACGATTTAGGTAATTTGAATTTTACAAGTTAACTAGAAAACTCGCGCTAGCGTTGATATTCCAACGGCACTTCCTCTTTTAGTGCATTGAGAGAGGTACTGTTATAGAGTTGAAATCGGCGTCTTATCCATTAATTATAAGGAGCACAAATACTAAGATTTTATCCCGGTCAAAAGGAGATTCTTGTCCTCGAGTAATTGTCGCTGGAAGACGCCGGTAGAAGCAACCAGCAACCTCCATTAACGGACAAACCATCTAAGTTCATTTCTCAGCCATATTTGTGACGGATTTATCATCGAAAGTCAAGACGTCAAAGATTAAAGACAAACTTTGATTGTAGGCACGACACAATAGTTCATTGTCTGTATCAAGTCAGCTATCTATTCAACGAACAAATGAAAGTTGACCATATGACGACCTTAGGAAAACCGCAGTATTGCTATATGAGAAGGGTTAATGGTTAATTGTTTTTGTCAATTGCTTTTTTTTATGAACAGGTGTTTTTCGTATATCTTTAAATTATGTTCTTTTTCTAGTGATTCGGCTGGACGGACGTTTCAAGCAACTATTTTCTCAGATCTATAAGAAACATGGTGGGAAGGCTAACAGGCGGTAACAGATTGTACTGGGAGTGCGGGCGAATATAAATCCAATAAATGCAGCCCAAAGTTTTATTTCTTGAATGTTCTTAAAGCAGGCAGCTAGACAAGCAATTGCCGTAATATAATGTAGGGATATTTCCCAAATCTATTTAATATGTTTAATGTCTTTTGAGCAAATTTAGAGTCACAACATTTGTATCATTGGTGTTCAAAAATATTTATTCATTAGACGAATCCAAGTACTTGTTGTTTTACTTTTTCTTTCTTTTCCATCAGTTGACGTCATTATTGGTTTCTACCGACCTAGCAGTTCCTTTCTCCTTGAACTTTGAATTGGCCTGAAGTGTTTTCTTAAATAAGCGTTGTCTACTTACTTTCATGATATCAGGACGCGCACCTGCCATTATATGGTCACCAGCGTTCTAGTCCCGCAAACCAGCAAACAATCAGTTTATTCCTTGCAGCATTGTTCATGAATACGCTCTATTATTTGAGTTGGTGTGATCCAAATCATACCAATTATTATGAAAACTCTTAAGTCTAGTCAAATGGGGGAAATTACAGTCAAAATGCGCAACACTTTATCTTTCTTTCACAATTCTTTCATCATTCACAGTGCCATTTACTTTTTTTCTTTCATTCATTCATTCTTTCTTTCTTACTTTTCTATTGCTTGTTTCTCTCTCATTATTTATCTTTCCACTTGCTTTCTACACATCTACTTTTTTTCGATATTTCATATTTTATTACTCGAATAAGAAAAAGAGTAATAAAATCATTTCTTTATTGTTTGTTATTTATTCCTTTAAATTTTGCACTTTATATTTCTATTTCTTTATAATATTTGTAATGAAATCCTTTTTATAATAAATATCATCATTACTGCTATTTAAAGTGTTGTCATTTTGTTTTAATTTTTCTCTTGTTTTGCTATATACTTTATTTATCACGAGAGCCAAAAATGGCAGTAAACCTCTTCAACTAGTAGCACACTCTCCTTTACTCTCCTTTACTCTGATTTGCACCGCGTCGTAATTCATCCTTAGTTCTCGAGAAGTTTCTGCGAGGGTTTTTAATTGTCAAATCGTATTTTTCATATTTCTACCACAATCGAACAATATACTGATGTATGAGACTTAGCTAAATCGTCTTTATAACAAATTTTAATTTCCTTTTCTTCATTTGATATCCTGGAATAATTTAGTTATTCTTGGCTCAATTTTCTTCAAGGTTCTCTTCCTCTTTATTCTTTCATCATCATCATCATCATCATCATCATCATCATCAATATCATCATCACCATCATCGACAGCAGCAGCAACTGCAAAAATATCTTACCCTTTTTTGTTTACGTGATTTCCATTAAGGCATAACGTTTGCCGTACTTTATGTCTTTAAGGTTCGGTATAAATATTGAAATGTGTATATATCAGATGGATAACGGCAGACTGAGATTAGC